AAGCAGCGGCCGGCGGATCCCACCAAGCTCGAGAAAGGCAAGTGGCATGTTGTAGCAACTTTGCAAGATATTAAACGACGCCGTGGATGCCCCATCGCCGTAGAGTAGCCCGCAACCACGCGTGCGTAAGACTCGGAAGCGCTGCAGCAATGTCCATGCTGGCGAAGCAGGGCATCAGGGTGGAGGCGTCGGTGTTGATGCTGGCGAGGCGGGCGATGGTGTCAACCTTGACGATGTTGGAGAGAAATTGACGGCCATTGGCAAAGCCTTGTTGCTCTTCTTCGGTGTTCGACGCGACGGAGCTGAGGATGCGATTCGTGGCGGAGGCGATGGTCTTGATGTCACTGCATTTCATGGCGAGGGAGCGGAGACAGTCAGGGCTGCGGGAGCACTCGTAGTTGCCCATGGGCTCGTCACCCTTGGGAAGCATGGCCATGAGCGCGTAGTTCAGGTCGTAGGGGATCGGGCCGCCGTGAGCAATGGAGTGGAGGAGGTCGTGGAGGATAGCGATGCTGCCGTCGGATCGTACCTAAGCGCGGTAGGGAAGTCCGTCAGGTCCAGGAGCTGAGTCACTGGCGAGTTTAGCTGCGGCTTGGAGCTCAGCAATCCCAGGTAGAGGCAGATGTCGTGGAGGTGCTGGTGGGAATACCATGCCCAGGTACTGCTGCATCGCTGGGGTGTCTACTGACTTGGCGGCAAACACCTTCGACCAGTGAGATTGAATAGCGCTGTGCATGCTCCTGGGGTCGTTGGCGACTGTCGGGCCTCTGCTGTCGGCGATGCGGACGCCTGCGAGAACCAGGCGCTTCGAGAACGGCTTTCAGATCTCACTGCGCTGTCCAGTACGGCGGGCACGACGTCGCCATTGTTCACCTAGGTCGGGCCGTTGTTCAGCGTAGGCAGCTCGCGAGCGGGCGGCAGCAACGCGACGACGCTGTTCCGCGATCTGGTGCATCTTGGCGGAGTGCTCAGTCTCGAAGGCGGTGCGGTCGACAAGAGAGATCGCGTGGTGGTGGATGTCGATGTGTTGTGTCCCTGCGGTGGTGTCGTTACGAAGCCGCTGGGCAAGAGTGACGTCCTGGTACCAGATGGCCCTGGCAATACTGCTGAGCGTAAGCGCACGTGCCTCTGCGATGGCATGTGAGTCTTCCCTATCCAGTCTCGGAACGAGGGAGCAGACGGGCGCACTTGGGATCGACCCCTGACCTTCCGCCCCTTCGAGCTGGGATGAGCGTGGCATGCGCGGTGATTGCATGGCCCTCGGAACGAAGGAGCCGATGGGTACACTTGGGACCGCTCCCTGACCTTCGGCCCTTTCGGTCTGGGACCCCTGGCTCTCGATCGGCATGAGCTCGGAGGCGGAGAAGGTGGTGATGGTGTCGCGAGACTTGCGCGCCGCCGTCTTCATTATGTGCTTCATTGTCCGCCAGTTCGAGATGGGGTCGGCAGAAAAGCCGGCCATCTCGACAAGGCGCTGGAAGTAGAACTTGTAGTGCATGGACCCGAAGAGGAAGGCAGGTACGCCACGCTCGCTGACTGGGCGCGGTTGTTGAGGTCGAAGTCGTAGATGTAGAAGTTTGCGATCGCTGATGGGCTCTCCTTCACGATCAAGCGGTCTGCCATCGGCTACAAGAAGGGACTCGATGTGCTGGATGTTGGACGCGTTGATCGAGGCGAAGCATCTGTCGATGGTCGCCTCCGTTAGGTTGGCAGCGCATCGATGAGTGGTGGCCTTCGTTGTGATCTCCATCATCTGCGAGAAGATGTTCTTCCAGAAGGCGGGCTGGCAGTGGTAGCGCTCGGCAGTGGAGTCCGCGGTGGGGTGGAGCAGGCTCTTCGGCGGCGTCTAAGCGATGTTGAAGTTGCCGACCATGAAGTAGTCGTGGCTGTCAGGGTGGAGGGCAGAATGTTGAGCAGCTGCTTGCCACGCAGCTCTGAAGCGCTGCCGGTCAGAGTCGCTGAGGTCGTAGTTGTGGGTGTTGAAGAGGGTCGTCTCGTGTTGCCTTGCTCCATCTTGAACGCGTAGTTCACCAATGCGGCCAGGGACGATCGCGCGAAATGTACGTAGGGGCTGTTGATCCGGTGGTAGTTGGTGTTCGGCTCGGTCAAAGGGAACCAGGAAGGCGATGCCGCCTGCGGTCTCCGAGGAGTGGCCGTCTGTCACGAGTGCTGAGTGGAAGGCAATGTACTTGTGGTCGGTGCTCGCGGCCAGGATGTCCATGTCGATGCTGTTGCCGTGGGTCTCTTGGAGGGCGATGACCGCTCGTTGCCGCATGTAGGAGAGCAGCAGCTGGCGCTTGAGGGCACGCCATGATGCCGATCTGCCGTTGAGCGCCTGCGTGTTCCACGAGACCAGGTTGAAGCCATCGGAGTGTGGTTTCGTGAACCACGGCGACCATCGCGTGCTAAAGCAACCGTGCTGCCTCCAGTGGGTTGGCGAAGGCAGCAGCCAGCGCGGCAGCCAAGGGCTCGTGCTCGGTGATGGGGATGCCAGCGGGAGCAGCTGCGTCGGACCAGCGAACTCGGGTAGCTGCATCAGGTGTGGCTCCAGCCGTGACCTGGACGATGGGGGCGCCGTTGATGGACAGGAAGCCGCCAGTACGGTGGACCCGAGTCTCGAGCATGGGGAACTTGTCATTGATGAGCTTGTTGAGCTTCTTGAGTTGCACCTCCTGTCGGACCATGCGTGGTGATTTGTCCGCGGAGACGTAGAGGGCGGTGGGGCCAGATTCAGACTCCACTTGGAAGCGACGCCATTCTCGTCCTTGTCGAAGTGCGCGGTGTAGTGCCTGGGCTCGCGGAAGAGCAACCGTGTTGCCACCAGTGAGCGTGAACGGGATCCTCCGTGCTGGGCCTTCCGAATTGATGCGGGGCGCGTTAATGTCCACATCGGCAGCGTCGAACCAGGGGGCCAGCGCGATCTTGAGCGAGGCGACGGAGAACTCTGACGCAGCACCGCACCAGAAGGTAGCTGCATTCGGTGGACGGTCCCAGGCACCGAGGGCGTCCATGTCCATAGCTGGGTGGAGAGCTTCAGCATGTCGTAGAGCTTGTTGAAGAGCGTCCACACTGGCCTGGAGGTCGCCTTGGAATCGCTCAGCTCGGTCAGCACGGCCTTTGAGCTCGGAGATGTCCCGCTCGGCAGACTCCTGGCGGGTGCTGAGCTGCTCGGTGACCTTCGTGACGTTTGCCAGGAACTCGGCTTGCGCAGCAGCAGCGACTTGCTTGGAGGTGGCTTCGAAGGCAGCGGTAGCTTTGTCGACCTGGGTCTGGAGAAGATCAGTGAGCTCCTTCCGCTGGTGTGCAGGTAGAGCGGTTGCGGCAAGCTTCTGAGCGCCAGCAGCCCAGGGGTCGACCACGGAGGCGTCCCTGCCCTTGCCCTTGTCGCTGAAGTCGGCAGAGCCTGAGGCGCCAGGAAGTCCCATCGCGAGGCGAGCGAGTCCAGGGCCAGAGCAGCTCGCGTGTGAAATGTAAGCCGCGTCCCCGCAGCAAGTATATGGAGAGGCACAACGCCGCGGGCACGGCGAAGGCGGAAAGCAGTAGTCCTTGCTGTCCCCGGACCAGGGGTCTCCGTGCTCTGCCACGGGGCACAAACATCTTGAGCCAAAATGGCTACGGAGGAGGAGGAGGAGGAGGAGGAAGAGGAGGAGGAGGAGGGGGAGGAGGAGGAGGAGGAAGAGGAGGAGGAGGGGGAGGAGGAGGGGGAGGAGGAGGAGGAGGAGGAGGAGGAGGAGGAGGAGCAGGAGGAGGAGGAGGCGGATCCCGGGCCCCCATCTACGCGGACGCCGCAAGAGTCGGAGGCCCCTCCCCCCCTTTATCGTGGACCCTTCCCTCGGCCTGGACGCCCCCCCCTCCCTTGCCCGAACCCCCGCGTGGAGGGCCGCCCGCCTCAGGCGGACAGCCGGGGCAGGTGGGGGCCGCCTGCTCCGAGTTGTTTAAAAAGGGTCAGGGGGGCGTCGCCCCCGCCGTCAGCCCCACATCGACCCCCGTCGCGGGCAGCCACCGCGCGCCGAAGGCGCTCCGACCCTCGTCGCGTCGCGACGACAAGGCGAGGTTGACCCCCCGTCGGGGGGGTACCCCCCCACGCTTAGTAAGAAACCCAGAGTAGGTCGAGGAAAGAAGCCCGCCGCACCTCGCCCCTGTTCTTTCCGATCCGCTTGACACCACCGCCACCGCCCCCGACGAGCGAGTGTCCGAAAAGCAGGGCGCATGCCCCCCCGCGAAACTACGACGACGACCGACGAATGACGACGGCCGAAAGCCGACGACGACCGACGACTGCGACGAACATCCCACGGGACAAACCATCAATGTTTCCCCACCTGGAGCGCCGTTCCCCGCCACAGGGCAGGACGGGGGACCGCCTTGTTTTATTTCGACGCTCACATTCATGCTGCTTCCCTTCGGTAAAAATGACTTGTTTGCTGCGCTTTGAGCTGCGTTATGTGTTGACGGGGTGCCTCGAAAAACGGGGGGGATCCTCTATAAACCAGGGAATTGACATTCTCGACAGCTGGGCCCAGACCACGATTGCCATGGACCCTCTTCCACTACATGAATCCAGACCGCTGCAGCAACATCTCGTTCAGAGAAGAGACCTTGCAAATGAGAACAACCATACCACTGCGTACGGTGAGTCTGTACCGACAACCAGTGCAGGTCCCACAGTCGCACGCGTGCCAGCTCCAAAAGCGAGTGTCCTTCTCGTTTACCAGTCTCTCTGCGACGACAGGTCACAGTTTCAGTGGCCCTGCAAGCCTTGGAATGAAAGAGTAGGAAATGATCGTGCTCCTCCTCCTTTTCCTCCTCGTCCTCCTCCTCCTCCTCTTCCCTCCTCCTCCTCCCTCCTGCCTCTTGCCTCCTTCCTCCCCCTCCTCCTCCTCCCTCCTCCTCCTCCTCCTCCTCCTCCTCCTCTCCTCCTCCTCCTCCTCCTCCTCCTCCCATTGAACTCCTCTTTCTAATTCGCTCTCTGCTCGGCAACCACGTTTTCGCCAGCTGGCCTGCGAACCGTCCGGCTTGAAAGCAATGCTCCAGATGCAATTGCTGTACTTCTCCCGCTCTGGCACCTTGTCCTGCGGCGCAAAACTGCGGGGGCCGCGGGCACCGACCCAGACTCAGACCTCCGACGACTGCACCTGTCTCGAACCCTAGCCCCCCGACTCCTCGACCCCCGTGCCGAGGGCGAATGCCTAATCCTGGATCGCTCTTGAACGGCCCCATGCCTGCAAACTGCATCCGGGGGCCGACAGCGGCGAAGATCGACGAAGCAATGCGATTGTCAGCCTTCATCTGGAGAGGGGAGAGGAGGAGGCGAAAGGAGAGGGCGCGGCAATCAGATTACCGTTCCACTTGTCAGAGTCTCAGCCTGAAAATCAGGAGCGGATACTACAGCAATCTACAAGTTTTGTCTGTCTGTCTGTCTGTCTGTCTGTCTGTCTGTCTGTCTGTCTGTCTGTCTGTCTGTCTGTCTGTTTGTCTGTCTCTTACGTATTTTGTATGCTTGGATGCACGCATGTATGTTTATCCCATGCCGGTATATATATATATATATATATATACTTATATACATAAATGAATATGTGTATATATAGGTGTATATACACATCTATATGTATATATGTACGCATGCATGTGTATCCGTAAATTTGATTACATACCCAAACCTACAATGTAGTACCTGATATCCGACCGCGGCAAAAAATTGCAGCACCGCGAGAAATAGCGACAAAAGCCCTAGGCCCCACCTTTCTGGTGCACTCCCCGAGCCGCCTCGAGCCGTGATGCTCCCGGGCCCCGAAACTAGGCGACAACGCCCGGCGTGACAAAAGGCGCATCGCCCGGATCTCAGGGACAGCCGCACCAATCTGCAGACCCCTCGAACCCTGAACTACTGAGGACCAGCAGACCTGCACAAACTTGAACTTCCGGAGCTCCTCGCGGACTTCCTGGGTCGGAGCTGGACCCCCTCCCTGGCGAGCGGAGCGCGCTGGGGGCAGCGATCGAGGTGCCGCCCGGGTGGTTTCAGCGCAGGTCCGAGACATGCGCGCGTAGCTCCGACAACTCATCTTTCTGCGGTTTTCTCCTCATCGAGCCTAGGGCTGGTTTCCAGCACATGCCGGGCCAGCCGAGCGCAGCACCGCCTCCGTGGGGATCGTCGGCGGTGGCGACGCGGCGCGGCGCGAGGAGTGGCTCGTCTGGGGGAGGATCGTCGAGGAGCGGGGAGGAGGTGTGCTTCGTACCTCGCGCCCCGTGCGCGCCGACCTGGCTCGTCGGGCCCGGTGGAAACCGCCGGCTGGTGCCCTCGAGCTGGCGCGGCTCGAGAAGATGCGGCGGCACGGACGTTGGGCGGGGCCGGAGGCGGATTCCCAGAGGCCGAGCAACACAGGAGGCCTCGGGCGTGAACCCCTCGAGCTACCGGGAGGCCGCTGGGAGAAGGCAACAGGCCATCAGCTCAGGAAGGTTACGGAGAAGAAGGTCAGGCTCCAACTTCTGGGAGGTCTTTGCAGTCAGAAAAAGCTATTGGGTGAGATTTGGGGGCCACTCAAGCAGATGAAGCCCAGATGAAGCGCAAGATTAAGCCGGCTCAAGCGGGAGTCAGCACAATTAGGCGGGATCATGCCGATTGGTCCAGTTCCCGCTTACGGATATAACAGCGTCGATGCTGTCACTAGCCTCCCAGGAGTCTGGGGGCTGCATCCTCACGAAGGAAGTCGGATGGGGGACGGTTGGCTGCGCGGACCCCACAAGTCTCATCGCGGCCGGCGGCCGGAATGTCGCGGGAGAATCGCTGGTCGTCACCACCTCGCCTCGACCAAACGAGGGATGCGCCGGGCCCAGACCCCGTGGCCTGTCTCGGCGGCGAGCGAGGGGGGGAAGTGAGGAGGAGAAGGCCTTCTCAGAAGGCGGCGGGACTTCTCGGAAGCGCTCGCGCCTTCGGAGAAGTGTCCTGTGTCTTAGGGGAAGGCTTAGAAAGCTTCTCAGAGGGCCAGAGGACTTCTTGAGTATCGTTTAACCGATCCCCATCCCCAGTGGCGTGGCCTGGGCCCCATTGGCCGATTGACCCCCCTGGATGGGGATATAGGTCGTTCCCTTCGGGGTTCGAGGGGCGCCTCCCCAAATGGGGGGGAGTAATCTGGTGGGGGTCTCGAGGGGTATGGGGACGGGGATGGGGATCGGTTAAACGATGCCGACCTCTGCGCCTTCTGAGAAGGGGTCTTCGCCTTCTCAGCCCCCCCCCGGGCTCGCCGCCGAATCTCTCGAGAGCACCAGGGGGAAGAACAATAAAAAAGCGATTCCGCCGTGGTCTGCCCCTGGGCCACCGCTTCTCCGAGCCCTGCAAGCTGTCAAGCAGCGGCCCAGACGTATCGTGTTCCAGCCTACTCTGGTCTTGACCACCAGCAAGAATGTCGAGCACCAGGAAGGCACCGAATCTGGAGGGTTTCCACGCGTCGGGCCCTGGGGGGCGATACTCGTTCGACACTGTTTCGATATTTTTCTGGGTGCTAGAACTTATTTCTGGGATCTGGTCCTTAAGTACGATGGGAGCAACATAAGCCAAAACTCAAAATCTCGGCCCGGGGAAGGGGGCGCGAGGCTGGGGGCAGGTGGCTCGAGCAACATCGGGCTGTCGGTCTGGGAAGTTAGCCAGGGCCTGGCCGTGAGGAAAAACATCCCGAATCCATCCCAGACCCCAACAGGAACAAGAGGGTGCGGGGCGGAGTGCGCATGCGCATGCCCCTGTTTACAGACTGCGCTGGCGAATACTGGCAACATGCGCCCTCACAGTACGCGAGCCGCTCGCCTGCCCAGGCCACCGATGGACGAGGCTATGAGCCAGATGCGCATGCAAGCGCTAAAGGGCACTCCGAGTTGATGAATAAGCGTCGGGGGGGCGTTACCCCCGCCGACAGCCCCACATCGACCCCCGTCGCGGGCAGCCACAGCGCGCCGAAGGCGCTCCGACCCCCGTCGCGGCGCGACGACGAGGCGAGGCTGACCCCCGTCGGGGGGGTACCCCCCACTCTTATTAAGAAGCCCGGAATAGAAACGGTAGACAAACATACCCCTGCGTCCTCCGTCGTCATGTGCCAACATCACTCCCACATGTTCGCGGGTTAACACATTTATGCGCCTGTGACTCTCGCATGGCCACGCGTACTCACGTCACTCCTACATGCAAGCACATGCCCCTGACTACCATAGAAACGCGCGCATGTGCAAATCTGGGTGTGTACGCATACGCATCTGATTATCCATGGCAAGGGGATGTACGATCGTTAAACTCCTTGTTGCCTGTGCAAGGGCATGCATGAATGCTCGCATGATTACGCACATGTGCGCAACTACTCGTGGCCAAAGGGCGCGTACATGCACGTACTTACTTGCATGCTTAAAAGAGGAAGAGGGATGAAATGTGCACACATTCGCTGCAACACGCTGCTGCAATATCATGTTCAACTGGCGGTCAAGAGGGCAATATCGCGGCACATAATACTTGCTTCAAACGATGGCTTGTCGCCCAACACTCCAGAAGCACACGATGTATCCAGGATGTCTGTGAGTTGGAAACCTGACACTCAAAATGCTATCTGAGTCACGGGCGACTGCCGCGTATGCACGGTGCTGGGAGTGAAGAGCGCTCGACTGATATATCGTAGATTGGCAAGCGTGGTCATGCCAAAGAGCACAAGGAAGGACGAGCAGTGTGAGCATAGCTCCTGCCACAGGGTCACGGTCCTGACAGCAGATCTCAACACAACGACAGGCAAGCTCCCTCCTGGGATGCACCCATGCAGGCCTGCAAGCGCGTCGAGCAAACCATCAGCCATCCCCACCACATGACATGCTCAACTGCTGCGTGAACCTTGCGCTGTGCATCGTTCCTGCCCATGAATTTCCTCCTCCCTTGCCGCGGGCTCTCCGCGTCATAGTACAGCTCGCAGGCGGGGACACCACACGCGAAGTCTGTGCGCGACTCTGGCATCTAACGTCGAGAAGGAAAGCGAAGCTGTGAACCCGCTTTTGGAACTGTGTGTCGCAATGTTCGCACGGGATCGATCCGTGAGGGCCCCGCGCCCCGAGCGATGGTAAAATTGCCGGTTGTGTTTTTCCCCACCGGACAGGTTGGGGTCGTTACATTTTAAGAACAGACCTCCCGGCCACTCCCACCCTGCACACCGCGGCCGCCAGACCCCAAGTTGTCCCGAATGTCCCGGTTCTCCCGCCTCGCGCCCACGACAAACACGGCAGAACACACCCTGCATACAGCGGCCGTCAGACCCAAGTTGTCCCGAGAGTCCTGGTTCTCCCACCTCGCGCCCTCGACAAACACGAGAGAACACAAGCTGACACAACAGAACATGACAGAACAAAGCAAGAGCATGGCAGAACAGAACAGATCAACATCATGACAAAATAGAGGACACCATCATATCACAAAAAATACCCGAGCAGAACATAACAGAAAACGACGTAACACAACATTATATATAATAACCGAACAGAACATAAGACAATCCACATTGACATATCACATCATACCATGACACGGCGTCACCAAACATATCATAATACGACACGGGAGTATCGATGCGAACACGCCAGGGCACAACATGCCGCACCATACGATAACAGAGCATAACACGAGCATGCCATAACAAGACAGAACATAACATAGCAATACCATGACAAACCAATGCATACTAGAACGTCCCATAACACATCCGACGATAGCATGGTATAACAGAACGCGACATAACACACCATAACATAGCACAACCGAGGAAAGCATAAGACATCTTGGCATAACATCACATATCATTGCACTTCATCGCAGAACCTTTCAGAACACGGCAGTATAGCATACCACAGCACGGCACCAGAGCATTGCGAAACATGCTAGAATAACAAATCCTAACATAATATACTGAGCCGAGCCGTCAACAGCATCACGGAACATAACATACTATCACAAACTCTGTCAACATATCATGCAATGACCTGTACCGCAACGTAGATCATACCAAAGTATCTCCAACCATATGGTGACAGAAATGAGCATAACATAGCATATTCAACCAGAAGTGAAGCATACAGGTGAAGAGGGGCATCACAACAGACGACGCATCTAACATCACAGGCGTCACGACGTCACGCCAGCCCGTTGACAACAGAAGAGGACATAATAGAGCATAACATGCAAAATCGTTACTACATGGAACACGGCTGAATCTTTT